AGATGGAAAATGTCTCTATTTCATGATCTTCGGCCAATGAATCATTATAGATCATCATACACTTCCCATGCTGCGGCCAAAAAGACTTTTGCAAGAATCCACTTATGCAAGTCAGGATTATGTTGTTATGAAACCTGGCAGGGAATGTGAGCACATACACACGAATCTTGATGGATATATGAGCTGCAGAGAAACACCCCGGTGTTTCGTGAGGTCATGGGGGATGCAGCAGTTATGCATTGTCACATAAAGTAATGACGAATGTTTACAAAGTCCTGCAAAATTAAATCAGTCCCATATGTTACCACTGGGCTGCCAGCCAACGTGTTTTTAACTGTGTGAGGGATGAGGAAGTTTTATCATTGTGCCAGTGAAAAATGTACAATACAGATCAGTGAGGCCCTGATGGAAATTTCTGAGCTGCGGCGTTATTTGTCTCTCTGATTGATTCTAATTTAATATAATAGCGATTGATAAATGTTATGGTAATTTGATGTGGTCCTGCACAGTTTGTACTGCAAACCAGGGCCGTATCCACCATTGACAGGGACAAGTCCCCGCCCTCCCAATAATTATAAAGTCCAAATTGTCTACCCAATGTTTGATATTGATCCTGCTCTGTTTGTTGTTAGGATAACAAAAAGTTGTAAAAGTTACAAATACAAAATGATTGAAATGGCCAATTAAATCAAAGAAGGCGGGCTTTATGTTTACAGAAGCCAAAAATTAATTCCAGCGTGACACTTCAGTTTTTAAAGGGGACCTATTTTGCCCCTTTTTACAAGATGTAATATAAGTCTCAGGTGTCCCCAGAATGTGTTTGTGAAGTTTCAGCTCAACATAGCCCACAGATCATTTTTGAGTGGAAGGAAAAACATGTTGTTTTTGTGTATGGCTCTTTAAATGCAAATGAGCTGCTGCTCTCCGCCCCGCCTTTAAAACTCGTGCATGGTTACTAACTAAGAACTAAAGCATGTTTTGGTTTTGATTATCATCTCTATCGTCGACGCGCTCACATGACATTGCAGTTCTTCATCATCATGAAAGTTTATTATCTGCATGTGTTTTAAAGCCCTATCAGTCTAAACTTATGATATATGGTTTTCCGAGTGCACATATCAGAAGCACGCGCACAGAAATCTGGATGTCAGATGGTGCGTCCTGTGAGTTTTAAACTAAGTTCTCTTTCAAATCTTATTGAGTATTAAACTAAGTTCTCTTTATTGCGCTTAAACTGTCAAATACACACAAAGTTCACATAAACACAGTTGGCTATGTCTGTGAATGTAAACAGCAAGTAAATAAATCGCATGTGTATATTAGATCTGTATATTAAAGCTGCAGTCCGCAGTTTTTCCTCATTGTCATGGCGACAATGTTCGAAATCTGCAATTGCAGTTATTCGCGGAATTATCAACTTTACGTGAGTTGTACTTCAACACGACACAGCGCGGATGAACACAATGTTTGAGGAGAGTGTGCAGCTGTCAATCACCGCGCCGGTGTCGATACTGGCATTCAGAATCACAGATTATTCTTTTTGGAAGTATGACCAACATAATAATTTTCACCGGAAAATGTAATGTGAACAAGTGAGTAACATCCACTTTTGTTCTGGTTCTGACATTGCAGTAAATCACGCTGATTAAATCTAACAATCGCTTATCATCACGCAAAACCGTGCAAATTATATTTTGTTCTCAAATTGTTAATGTTAACAACATCAGCATTGCGTGACTACATGTAATGTCCTTCCGATATTATCCTTGTTTTCGCATGGGCCGGATGCACTCTCTTTTCTTCTGTAGCCACTCCGAAGTCCGAACGAAGTTTTTTGCATTTTACAGCAGGTGAATCTGTTGTCACTGGTGATTGTCGTTTGAACCTTTCTGGATCCGCCATCCAATTGATGAGTTTAATTATATCAAGTGCTGTGAGAAAAGGCTATAAATCTCCACCTCCAGCATCCTCACACTCAAAGCCTACTAGCCGAGACTCCTTCTTTATGTGTACAGATGTGACGTAATGACGCAAAGACATGCTCGAATCTCCCACGGAAATCCACCAGTACCACTGGAATTAAAAACATTATTACAAGCTTACCGCTTTGAATCGAGCTAAGGCAAGCAGATAGTTTTGAACACTGGCTGGTTATGTATTTTCTCAAATATGTATTTTAGATAATTTTTAATCCAAAAAAAGCTACGGACTGCAGCTTTAAAGCAAAATAAATGCTGTTAATATGAATCAAACAACAAAAGAAAATCAACAAAATCACTCACACTTGACTGAACAACTTTAGTAGCTTTAATAAGAATACATTTCTTACTTGAATGCTGCTGTTAAATACTCTGGCGAGGAGATAAACATGGCGGACTGTGTACAGCTCACTCAGGGCGGGTCTATGCTAATAGGGCAGAGTCCGTCAGCAGTCGTGGGCGGGGCCTAAGCATATGTGACATCACATTGCGTAGAAGCTGCAAACGGCTTATTCTGAGACACTGCTTATGATTTATAGGGATTTTAAAAAATGAGTGGGTGGATTTATGTTTTTACGATAGAAATGTTAAACGACCAACAGTAATATCCTGTCATGCAAACTACTCGACTACTCAAACTACTTTGAATTGAAAATATAGGATCATTTACGTGATTCGTGTATGATGAGACAAGAGACATTTTGCCGTGTTTCTCATCATATTCAAGCATTTTCGACATATGCACTGTCATGTCTCGTTTTGGTTTTGGTTCATGTTTCATGTCAGTCATGTTTCCTGACTTGTCATGTGATGCCCTTGCCCTCATGTGATCCTGCCATGTGCTTCCCTAGTCTCTATTGTGTCATGCTGTCATTAGTTCATTGTCTATCATGTTCACAGGTGTGTCTTGTTTAGTGATTAGTCAATGTGTGTATTTAAGCCCTCATGTTTGTATGTGTCTTTGTCAAGTATTGTTTCCCTATGTATGTGCATGTGCATGTGCATGTGCATGTGCATGTGCATGTGCATGTGCATGTGCATGTGAAGCTTATAGTTTGTATTTAGTTTGTTCAATAAAACTGTATTTGGGTTTTCCAAGCTTGGCCCCAGTAGACCTCGTTACATGCACAAATTCATTTTTATTGATAAGCCTATTTTAAAATAAAAATATTGAAAATGGTTTAAATTCATTACAAAACTTCTTTATTCTCTTAAATCTATTTATTAATCAAGACAAGGTTCTTGCTGCAAACAACACCATTGCAACCCCGCAGAATACCCTGACTGCATATAACATGCTAAATACATTTTGAACACCTTAGAAACCACATAGCAACACCCTGGCAACCACACACAACAGATTGTGGCGGCAGGTTTTTGATGTTGCCATAATGAAGGTTCAATGTAATTTCATTGCTTTGTTTTGCTGTGCTTGTATGGCTTCTCTCCTCCATCTGTGTTGAAACAGTCATCCACATCTGAACACAGACACTTACTCCGATTCACAGCAGATGGTGAAATGTAAGCAGTCTGTGACTGGACAGAAAAACAAGCCAGCATCGGAGAATACACATGTGCATTGTGAGAATATGGCTATCATTTTAACCAATGCAGTCTCTGTGTGTGTATTAAACTGAATGAGTGACCCATACCTCCTTAGACATGAGCTCAAGTCCTCAGCATGCTGAAGTTGATCTCCAAAAACACTCTCCCACTGGCTGTTCATCAGTCTGACTGATGAACTATCTTCTCTTGACAGAAGGCCATTAAATTTACACTTAATGTTGCTTAATATTAAAGTCTACAAGCTGACTAAACACAAGTAATCTTTGGTGGATGAAAAAGCTGCCATTTATCCTTTCCACTGCTTTTAAATGATCATGAGCTCTGACATAATTTACTGAAAGGAAATGTGTAAAATACTGTACTTCTCTTCATCTTTGTAATTATGACATTGATATCAATGTCATGCCAGAAGTGCTTGGCTAGATACACTTCAGAAATAGCTCACTCTGCACATTTACAAGACTGTGGATGATCTCCTACACTTCTCAGATGTCTGTCTGTATGAATGTCTGTGCTTCCCAGAAATTGAATAAAAATGCCTGTTTTTATAACTTAAAAAATTAGATTTGGACACACCTAAAAATGTTTGAATGTCAGAATCATTGTGCAAAAATGTATTCTTTTTCATTTGTTTGCAGATTAAATGAATTGTTTGCATATGCCATAAAACACTTGGTTTTATATTTTTAAATCTAATGCAATGACATTCAGGCATTTTTAAGCATCCAAATGCTTTTTGGGGCCTCTGTACATATATATTATTCTCCAGTATTTTACTTCATTTCTTTATTCTGTCATTTAATTGCATACATAAGTTTGTGCTGGAAAGTCACACAAGAGGAAAGTATCTTCTCTCTCACTACAGTAATATTACTCCATACCAGACCTCTCCTGGTCATGTCATCACCTGTGTGAGAGTCTGGAACGTGTCATAAATCAGGTGAACCATTGTAAAAAATCTTGTCTTTCATAAAGCAAATACTGCAGTGTGAGCTACACGTGCTAGACGGGTCGGGTGAATCTCTCAAAAGCTGTCAAGAACATGTCTGGGTCATATTTCACCCCACATTTAGGAGAAAGTAATAATATATTATATTTTGAGGGAATATATACACTATAGATGTACACTCTATAAATACATTTTAATGGCCTTCAGTGGAAAAGCAACATCAGTATGCACTATTTGCTCACACTGGACTGGACGCTATTTCTCAGCAAGCTGATAGAATGTAAGAAATCGGTCATGCTTTCCATTCGGGTTTGAGCACTGCCAGGTTCAGAATTCAAAGACATCTTCTGGTGTATTATAAGCCTACTGTATGGTACATAATAAATTGTTGTTATTTTGCTCATACAGCAGTAATTATTCTTTCAGCAGACAGAATATTATTGAAATTTCTTACTATTGTTTTGGGATACAATGCATGTCATTTGATCATTTGCGTTTCTGTTTAGTCACCAGAGTGTGTACAAGATCCACTCAGTGGCCTGCACAGGAAATGAGGCTCATCTTTCAGCATGCACGATGGAGTTCAGTAAAGCAAACTCTAGCGCCCCCTGTCCCAATGGAGGAGCTGCTGTAGTCAGCTGTGTGCCCGGGCCACTGTTCACACAGGCCAGAGCACGTCGAGTCAAGCTCAATCCAATGGTGATTAGATAAAGCTAATTAATTTTCAATGGACTGATTTAATATTAACATTAATCACGATTTCTGGAGGTAATATCAACAGAATAAATAAAAAAACACCTGTATTATGGCTTCCAGTGATCATGCTCGTTCTCATTCTCCAGTCTCAGGTGCGTCTGAAGGGCGGTGCAAAGGCAGGTGAGGGCCGTGTGGAGGTCCTGAAGGGGAGCGAGTGGGGTACAGTGTGTGACGACCGCTGGAACCTGCAGTCCGCCAGCGTGGTGTGTAGAGATCTGGGCTTCGGCACCGCTAAAGAGGCTCTGACTGGAGCGCGAATGGGCCAAGGTGGGCAACACTAGATAGATAGATAGATAGATAGATAGATAGATAGATAGATAGATAGATAGATAGATAGATAGATAGATAGATAGATAGATAGATAGATAGATAGATAGATATCCCATTCAAAGGCTATGATCTCTTGTCCACAGGCATGGGTCCCATCTACATGAATGAGGTTCAGTGTCGTGGTGATGAGAAGAGCCTGTGGGACTGTCCTCATAAGAGCATCACTGCTGAAGACTGCAAACACATGGAGGACGCCTCCGTCATCTGCAACATTCCCTACATGGGCTTCGAGAAAACGGTCAGACACATGCATGATGATTCTACTGTTATTTTATTTCTAGCAAGTAAACTATGAAGTGTATAGAGAAAAAACTGCCTCAAATCTGCTTTTAACATTTATTATAACCATAATTGTCCTCAGACAGAAAATCTTTGATGCCCTCATCAAAGTGCCTTCATTTACGACTAACGCTTATGGGGTTTTGTATTGTGTTCAAATTCTTCTTAGCTCAGCTATGAACACTAACAATGTTGTTCAGGGCTGATCCAAACTAAAGCATTGCACCACCAAAATCTGTAAAATCATTTACAATGAGCACACTTTTATTCAAATGGGTGATGCAATACGCAGTAAAAACACGTTCTCACAGCCCTAAAGCAGCACTGCTTATCAAGTTGAAATGATCAAAGTCAAGGTTCTTAAGTCTTTTAATTCTTTCTGCTTGCTCTGTAACCTGTGGCAGATCCGCCTGACAGGGGGTCGGACGCGGTTGGAGGGGAGGGTGGAGCTGCTGCTCTCTACAGGCAGTGAGATGAGGGACTGGGGTTTGATCTGTGGGGACGGATGGACGTCTCGGGAGGCCATGGTAGTGTGCAGACAGCTGGGGTTGGGACATGCCAGCAGTGGCCTGAGAGTAAGATAACCACTGTATAACATACAACACAGGCAAAGACATGGAGTTGATGAGTAGTTTAAGTGAATATAGCATGGAGGTTAGGGGGATTCACAGAAACGGTGAAACCTTCAAAAAATCAGCTTAGTATGAAAAAAACTCCAATGCAAGAAAACTAATGTAATTGCAGTTACTGAAATGGCGGTGCAAAATTAAAAATATAGGTAACACTTTACAATAAGGTTCATTAGTTAACAGTTAATGTATTAACTAACATGAACTAACAATGATCAATACATTTGTTACTGTATTAGTTAATCTTTGTTAACGTTAGTTAATACAAAAACAGCTGTTCATCGTTTGTTCATGTTAGTTCACAGTGCATTAAGTAATGTTAACAAATACAACCTTTGATTTTAATAATGTATTAGTAAATGTTGGAATTAATATTAACTTAATTAAGATTAATAAATGCTGTAGAATTATTGTTCATTCTTAGTTCATGTTAAGTAAGGTAGTTAACTAATGTTAACTAATTAACCTTATTGTAAAAGTGTTACCAAAATATAATATAAATATAATGCAATGTTTGCTGCAGGTCTATGGAGCCCTTAAAGGGATACTCCACTTTTTTTGTAAATAGGCTCATTTTACAACTCCCCCAGAGTTAAACTGTTGAGTTTTTACCGTTTTTGAATCCATTCAGCCGATCTCCGGTTCTGGCGGTACCACTTTTAGCATAGCTTAGCATACATCATTGGAGTGGACGAGACCATTAGCATTTCTAAAAAAAAAAAAAAAAATGACCAAAGAGTTTCGATATTTTTCCTATTTAAAACTTGACTCTTCTGTAGTTACATCGTGCACTAAGACCGACGGGAAATGTAAATTTTCTAGGCTGATATGGCTAGGAACTATACTCTCATTCCTGCGTAATAATCAAGAAACTTCACTGCCGTACCATGAGAGCAGCAGGCGTAATGATATGACGCAGCGCCTGAAAATAGGCCACCTTCCGTCAACACAACGGAACTATTTTCAGGCGCTGCGTCATATCATTACGCCTGCTGCTCTCATGGTACGGCAGTGAAGTTTCTTGATTATTACGCAGGAATGAGAGTATAGTTCCTAGCCATATCAGCCTAGAAAATCGCAACTACAGAAGAGTCAAGTTTTAAATAGGAAAAATATCAAAACTCTTTGGTCATTTTTTTTTTTTAGAAATGCTAATGGTCTTGTCCACTTCAATGATGTATGCTAAGCTATGCTAAAAGTGGTACCGCCAGAACCGGAGATCGGCTGAATGGATTCAAAAACGGTAAAACTCAACAGTTTAACTCTGGGGGAGTTGTAAAATGAGCCTATTTCCAAAAAAAGTGGAGTATCCCTTAAAGGGACATGGTGAAGGGAAAAACATGGGAGGAAATAAATGTTTTGCGTTCCTCCAAGAAACTTTGCATTTGCTCGCAAAGAACACAAAAGTTTGGTGAGCGAACGCAATGTTTCTTAGGGGAATGCAGAAGTTTTGCTAGGAAATGCATTAGCAGTATTTTTCATCACCCTGTCCCATTGGGGGTTCAGTACAGGTCTGGTTGAAATCTGATATTTTTTTTTTGGTTTGTTTTTGCAGAGTTTCAAACCTGCAGTGCATTAAAAATAAGTAAACCCAGACAACTTTGCACTTTTTCCACATTTTCTGTGTTGATATTATGTAGGAAAATCTGGGGTGTCACACAAAAACATGGCCACTCATTATGCCGGACGGGTTCGCCTTCCCTGAAATACACTGCAAAAAAAAGAAAGAAAATCTCAGAAAAATATTTTTTTTTGCAGTGTGAGTGCATTAATTTTCAAGAGGTTTCAACTGATAACAATACATTTTCAAGACAGTGTGAACAGAGCATAATGCTAACACCTCTTAACCCTGCAATACATGGACTTATTAGTAAAACGCACCACGCTCTTTTGCCTCTCGGACTGATCACAATAATCCACTAAATCAAATCATTACTAGCAGATATAGAACTTTGTAATTCAAGCATTAGCATAGCCGGCAATTTGTTAGCTTCTTCACTTTATTTAGCCTAGTTTGCATGCTAAGCCCTTGCAGTGGGGGTCTGTCTGCAGATCCGTATGGTGGGGGGCAGGACGGATCACGAGGGTCGCGTGGAGGTTCAGGTCAAGTCCAGGTGGGGAACTATATGCAGTGACAAATGGACCACAAGAGAAGCCATGGTGGCGTGCAGACAGTTAGGCCTCAGATACTGCCTGCATGCTATCACTGTGAGTAAGAGAGGCGCTATGGGACTGGCTGATCAAGCATCGCAGCTTGATTGGTTTTGAAATCCCATATTAACATGACATGTGAGCTATTCATGTGTGAAGTATGCACTACCGTTAAGTACCGTTTTTTGAAGATCAATTTTTCGCTATAATAAGAAATGTATTCATAGACTGAAAGTGGAAACATTGTGGCTCAAAATAAGGCAACCAGCAACAGCAAAACCAAAAATGTTTGTTTGACCAATGGAAGTATTTGCCATTATTTTTGCTATATGGTTTGATTCAGATTTAATTAATGTCTAATGCTGACATTACCATGCTTTGTATTGTGTTTCTTGTTTTATCCATGTTCAGTCATTTGCCAAACTCATTCATCTACTGACGAGCTCTCCCCTGTGTTAAGGAAACGTGGTACTGGGACAGCAGTAACGTGACGGAGATGGTTCTGAGCGGAGTGAAGTGTAAGGGAGATGAGATGACTCTGACCGACTGTCAGCATCATCCTGTCATCAGCTGCAAAAGAGCGGGAGCGCAGTTCTCCGCTGGCGTCATCTGCTCAGACAGTGAGTGATATGCAAGTCTGTAAAGAAAAGTTGTGTTTCAAAAGACGTTATTCCATCATATGTTTGTTCACTTTCTCACACAATCCGTAGCGGCTTCGGACCTGGTGCTGAACGCTCCATTGGTGGAGCAGAGCGTTTACATCGAGGACCGACCCTTGCACATGCTGTACTGTGCAGCAGAGGAAAACTGCCTCGCCAAATCAGCTGCTCAAGCCAACTGGCCATACGGCCACCGTCGCCTGCTACGCTTCTCCTCCCAGATACACAACATCGGCAAGGCTGACTTCAGACCACGGCTCGGCCGCCACTCATGGGTGTGGCACGAATGCCATAGGTAAACGGAGGAGCTCTTGTTGTTGCTAAATTTCAAATCTCATACCTGTCCCGCAGTAGCCTGGATGCCAGCCGAACTTAGCCCCGCCCACAACATTTGAGGATGGGAAGTTCGGTCTGGACTCGACCCGCTGTGAAGCAAGTATGCCCGAACCAAAGCTGTTCGGACCAATCAAATTGTCAGGGCGGGCGTTATACGACGATGGACAGATGATCAACAGTAACGTAATCATCCACGTCACCAAAGAGCGCTTGGGTTGAATTCGTTTACAACAAAATCCGTCATCGTGTCTGTTATAGAGCTGGTAAGTCCCGCCCATCCGTAAAACTCCAAGTGGACCTCTAGGTTGAAAAAGTGTCAATGCAAGTGAATGAGAGAAAATAATTATTTTCTGATCCCGTTTGAATTGTGCCATGAATGTGAACATATGTTGTCTGTGAATTTTTTATATAATTTCTCATGTAACGAGTTTGACAGTATATTGTATGATTCTTTGGCTAGCAGTAGTGGAATAGACATAACGAGAAAGACTACACGTCGCATATGTGACGTCACCGCATAACACATTTTCCCTCCACAAATCACGGTGCGATAATCTAAGGAATTAGATCGAGATGCCTGTGTGTTTTGTACCCAAATGTCACCATTCAAACAAAGGCATGTTTAGCGGGATCCGTGTGCTAGTGGTGGTGACGTATATCAAACGCGTCGAAAGCAGCGAAGAGTTGTAGTCCACAAAGTGCTCTCACACTAAGTCTAACCGTATGAAAATTCTACCCGCTAAATTGTAGCATTCTTTACACGAAAAATTATATAACAAATTCACAGACAACATATGTTCACATTCATTGCAAAATTCAAAAGGGATTAGAAAATAATTATTTTCTCTCATTCACTTGCATTGATGATTTTTCAACCTAGAGGTCCAGCGGGGTAAGCGGAAGGGGCGGGACTTACCAGCTCTATAGAAGGGGCGGGACTTACCAGCTCTATAGAAGATCTATACAACGCATTCATTTTAAAAGAGGAACAGAGAACCGCGATCAAGGCATTTGTCGACCGGAAAGATGTTTTTTTTTTTTGGTCCCTACGGGATTCGGCCTATCCAATTGCGTGCAGAGGTATTTTTTTTCCTGATTTGGTTGAAACACGCCCCATAATCACAGCCCAATGGAGCAGTATCAGACTCACATTCTGACTAGTATGACGACGTCAGGCTAGGCCCGCAGGTTATATGTTCTCTCTTTAAGGTGGAGCATGTGTTTAAGACCCAAAAACATACGCTACTGCAAGCTCAATTTCATCACAAAATAGAGCGCTGCAGTGATGGCTTTTGGGTCATTGCAGAAAATAAACTATGTGACCAACTAAAGTCAATGATTCTTACACGTTTTATTCATCATGATCTTCACAAATGAACACAACTTTTATGAATTTTTAAAAACCCTAAATACAATCGCCAGAAGTAAAAAGTTAAAGTAGGCTATTAATGAGCTACACCACGGTCACATGACTTCAATGACACCACACTCAGCTCTTTCACAAACATTCACTGCAAAATTATCTGCCAATGGGGTAAGAAAAATCTTGTTTCCATTTGAGTTAACATTTTTTTTCTGACCCCATTGGCAGATAATTTAGCTTTTTTTAACCAAAAACTCACTTAATTTAGATTTATTTCCCCACAAAACAAGACTTAATATCTTATGGCATTTTACTACTTAAGTAAATGCATCTTGATTTAAGAATTGTTTTATATTTGGACTGGAAACAAGACAAAAATACTAAGTAAGAAACGCATTTTTGCAGTGTTTTCCCTGAAAGTTTGAGTTAGAATAGTTTGCAATTATTAACACAATATAGCTGTGAAAGTAGACTAGTTATTAGATGGGTTTACCTGTTCGATGAAATTACATTTAATGTCCCAACAATCTCTGTAGTCTCATTTAACCACTTTTCCACAACTGCCTTTTTCAAGACATAACGCTTGAAAGCGGGTATTACTGATGAATTTTATGTCGTAGAAAAAAAACATGAAAATATCTTGAGCTTGTTCAATTTCAGGCATTTAACCAAAAACCCATTCAAACACCCGCATTGACTTCAGGATGATGGAATCGGAAGTGCTAAATTGCGAACTCGTTTCTGGGTTTTGGCCTACAAAAAGTAACACTCAACAATATTAGTTCAATAACTATAGCTTGAAAAAAATACGTTTACAGCATTTACTCATCTTAGATCCTTACTTAATGAACACTATTAAATAGGTTCATTGTTATATAATGCCTAATGCCTAATGCTAATGAATTCTTAGCATTCCGTCAAGGGTCACTACAATAGAAATTATCCATAAAACTGTCTTCTTCTACAGTCAGTTTAGTCTTTCCGGTCGACTACTATCGTGACAACAGTTTGAAGACACTCTTGCCAATCAAGTTAATTAAACGTAATTAAATTGTCAACATCCAATTAAATGCCTTAGACATTTAAAGCTTCTACCACCCCCAGGAGTACTGAGGTTTTTTACTACCACAGTAATGCAAGAATGCATGATCAGTAAACTTATGTTGCAATGCAATGAATGGCCAAGCGTTCGTGTCTGTTGTTCGCTGAGAATATTGGGTTGGCTTGCTTGGTTTGAACAGAGATCTATCAACTGTGTTTTTCTTTTAAGCGTCTGGCAGCTTTGCTGAATCTCCTTTTGCTCCAGCCTGATCCAGCTGCGGCCCCAAGGACCCATATGGCTTCACTAACACTGAGCGCTAGTGGTCATGTCGGCTGAACAACATTCCAAAGGTCATAAACTGATATAAATTTCTTCCTACAAACCAGAGCAGAGGCTTTCAGACCCTGGACAACCTACTGGGTGAATGGAAGTTCAAGCTGGCAGTCTCTGCTTTAAATGAACACGTGTGCCGACATGATCCAGGGCTGGTTATATCAGTCTCACAGTGGTTTCTGTTCGTCATGCTATAACCTTCAACTACACTGAGCTGAAGTGTAGTGCATGGGCTAAGTGCTTAAATATTAATATTTTGCATCACAACTGCATGGTTAAAATGTTTTCCTCCTTCATGTTTAAACAACTATTGCATCTGTAAAAGTTGTTATTCTGTGCTTTCTGCGTTGAATTGAAGACTTAAAACTGTATTTTAAAAATTAGTAAAATATTCACTCTTATTGAGAAGCATTGGGGACCAAATAGCCGTGTGACAAACCAGTTACAATATTTGCATAAAATGAACATTACAGTATTAAATAATATTTTCCTCTGGTGGTGGATGTGCCACCTACTGGCCAAAGTTCATAAAACATGGTCAAAAACATTAACTTTTTTGGCCAGATGTCATGCTTGCTCCATTCGCTATTGGGGGCCTGTCGAATTAGATATTTTGTAAATAAACACTTTCACAATTTTTACACTTACCAAATTCAGTGGGTTTAATTGATTTTTAAACCAAACGAACCGGTACACTAAAAAGAACTGGCTCAAAAATGATTTGGTTCTTGAGTTCGATTTGAACTGCTCAAGATCTACTTCTTCAAAAATATACCTTTGAGTACCAAAGAAGAAGAAAAAACATAAGAGAAATGTTATTTTTGTGTTGACTATCCCTTTAAAGTATAGCCTCTCAATGCTGTAGAGCACTGCAAAGTCTGAATTCAATGGTGTAGAAGATGTAGAGCCTTTTTACGTACTTTCCCACCATGCATTTTTCAGATGATTCATGAATAAGAGCAGCTTTGAATAGTCTCCATTAACTCTTAGCGGTGGCCTGTGTTTACACTGCAAGCTTCCTAGCAGACATCAGGTTTCCCAATGTATGTGTCCGACACAATGATGATGAGGAAACCTGTTGTGTGCTCTTGCTGAAAGGACACACACAGCCGGGATTGGGACTGGAGCCAGTGTCTGAGACACTGCGACTTCACTTCTCTCCAACAGGCCTACAGCACTGAATCTGCTCTCCAAGGCCTGTTAAATCTTTGCTTTTTTTCCATGAAAATGACAGATTTGTAGGTTGCAGTATAGTATACAGGATTCGGGATGGCTTAAATTCCGTTATGGTTTGTTTGTTTATATGTATTGTCTCCCTTAGGGAATACTAGTTTTGCAGCAGAAGGTAACAGACATATACAGATAATACATAATACACAAACAATATATAATACACATTGCACAAATCATAGTTCATATCAAAGCAATCGACCTATGAAAAGTTCATTAAACCAACAGCTACAAAAACAAAAAAAATCGTTTTCTTCTTCCACCTGGCACTCTACAACGACGACCAGAAGGCAACAGTTGAAATTCTTTATATAATATAAATGTCTTAAAATTTCTTAGAACGTGTCTAACTTAAAACCTGTCTATGATAAATGTCAATAGGCTGGATTTGACTTATCCCTATGACTTTTCCTGCCTATTCAACCTATTGTTATTGTAAGATTGCCAAAGCTGTGATACAAAAAGAAAACCCTGATTCAATTAAAGACTTATAAAAGGAAGTCATAATCTTAAAGCATACATTAAATGAGTTTGCACTGTAGCACAACACACACACGGGTACTTTGATATGGTTTTTAAAATTATTTTTGAATGATGTTTTTTTGATGGTTTAACCCTGTTAAACTTCAGAAGACTGTGTTTATGACCTCCAGGCACTATCATAGTATGGATATCTTCACCTATTATGACCTGCTGTCTCTAAACGGGACCAAAGTGGCAGACGGACATAAAGCGAGCTTCTGCCTGGAGGACACCGAGTGCCATGAAGGTAAGACAGAGGTCAAAGGTCAGATGCTGGACTTGTCTGTATAACTAACACCAAACTTTTAATCTTTTCTCAACCTATTTAAAAAAAATTTTTTTTTACTTTATTGATGTTATGTTTTTGTGTGTGTGACAGAAATAATCAATTTAGTTTTCATAAATTAGGTTTCAGGAGTTTTTGAGTTACAGGATGTTTTTATGCTACAATAAACTCCTTTATTTCCAAAGATCAAGGAACATTTTATTTCAGTGCTATAAATGATTTGTTTCATAGTAACCGTCATAAATGTTGGCTTTCATGCCAAGGTAGTTGTTTATCCACTAGGGGTCTCTAGACTACTGGGTATAGTCTACTATTGAAATCTTTTTATGGATCAGTAGGCTACCGATACATTACAGTGACCGATACTTTAAATCTCCTCTGTCACTTTTAGGCTATACATCTAGGGTGGTATTACATACTTTCGATTTGAAGTAATTAATATAAAAGGCACTAAACCAGCCAAAGATAGCTTGCTCTTAGCTGATTTAAAGGGACAGTTCACCCAAAAATAAAAAATTCTGTCATCATTTACTCACCCTCAAGTTGTTCCAACCCTGTATGAATTTCTTTCTTCTACTGAACACAAAGGAAGATATTTTGAAGAATGTTTGTAACCAAACAGGTGATGGGCCCCATTGATGTCAATGGTGCCCCACAACTGTTCTTCAAAATAGAACAACAGTGTTTTTGTGTTTTACAGAGGAAAGAAACTCATACAGGTTTGGAAAAACACGAGGGTGAGTAAACGATGACAGAATTTTCATTACTGTGTGAACTGTCCCTTTAAGCTGGTTTAGTTGGTCAACAAATATCTCAAAACCCTTCTAAAATCAGCAAAACAATCTATCCATCACCCTGGCTGGACAAGACGTTCACACACATTGCGTTTTTGCATTTTACTGCACTGGTTTTCCATTTAAACATGCGTGAGATGGGAGTTCGCGTATGGCGTTATTAGCATAAACGCCGCGTTTAGAAGTTGTTGTTTTTTATTTATTTTATATATATATATTATATATATATTATATATATATATATTTATTTATTATATTTGTCATGCGGCCATAGACTGTAAAATGCGGCAGGACTACAACGGTCAATGTAGCATGTTTACATAGAAACACAATAGAAACGCAGCCCTGTGGAAAGCAAAAACGTGACATCTATAATGAAATAATAAAAAAAGCAAGGTTGAAAAAAGTTAACTTCAAACGCGTTTGTCTAGTGCATGTTTACATAAAAACCAATGGAAAAGCAGCACAGTTTAATGCAAAAACTGGTTTAATATTAGGCTGGTTTAAGGTGTTCTTCGGCTTGTCTCCAGAAATACACTGGTGCCACTTCCCTTGTTGCAGGTGTTTCAAAGCACTATGAATGTGCTAACTTCGGTGAGCAGGGCATCACAGTGGGCTGCTGGGACTTGTACAGACATGATATCGACTGCCAGTGGATTGACATCACGGATGTTAAACCAGGAAACTACATACTACAGGTAGGTAGCCTATTCACTTGTGGTAATAGTCACAGAAAGAGAAACCACCTTGGTAGTTTGTTAAAAATGTGTTTCCATCAGCTAGATAGCACGCTAACAGCAAAGAGCAGTTACATGAGCAGACTTTGGTCCCGTAGGACCCCATTGTCTGGGCTTTTCAGCAGGTCAATAGTTGTCAAAGAGCTGTTGCAGTTCTGCCCTCTAGTGGTGGAGTTTATCAGATCTCGTGCAGTTCACCATGATGTCCAGGAATGCGAGGGTTAGAAGAGTAATAGGATTTGGTTTGATTAATGATGTAATGAACCTTAATTACACAGGGTGGGGGTGGAGGAAGGATTTTACTGGAAAAGACCCACCCGGATTAGGATTAACTAACAAAAAGCCCAGAATACAGTCTTTTATTTTGAAGATCTTGCTATCACTATGGACACACTTCGCTGATTATGCTGTTAGCTTGATTACAATTATGCAACCATTATATTTTTCTCTTTGTCAGGTCGTTATAAACCCCAACTTTGAGATAGCTGAGAGTGACTTCACCAACAACGCTATGCGATGCAACTGCAAATACGATGGCAACCGTGTCTGGTTGCATAAATGTCATCTTGGTGAGACGGGCTGTTGTTCACTAGGTCCTTCAGACCTGCCCGATTCTATTAAACATGATTTGAGGGGAATACAATTGCATGCTTGCTTATTCAGATATTTTAAATCAGCACTAAATGAAGCTTAATTTTTTTTTTTTTATTAAAATGTAAACGTAATTTGTATTATTTGTGTTTCCAGGTGATTCATTCAGTGAAGAGGCTGAGAAAGAATTTGAGCATTATCCTGGGCAGCTCAACAACAAGATCTCATAATATATATTTTTTTGTGAACAAACCCAGTGAACTCCAATAACCACGTGGCTCTGGACAAAGAGAAACTTTAATCACTTAACGTTACTATTTATTCTCATTTGAATCCATTGTTACTGTGGTCGAATCACGTGTTTATATTAGGTCATCAGAAATGATCATGTAGCCAAGGGCCTGAGACAGAACAGAGCTGTGATTGTGGCCTGGGCTTTTGTCAGTGCGAATGCAAGTGGTTGAGCAGTGGCTATACACTTCCTCTGAACCTCTCAGAGCAGACGTCAGCCAGTCACGAGATGCACCAGTTTCATTTATAACATGCATCAGGGAATTACAAAGACTGATTGCCGACTGATAACTTCAGTCTGTATGTGCATTGATTTTGAACTCATGCAGGATTTGTCTCCATGTATCTGTATATTTCTGAAATGTCCTAAAACCATGTTTTTAAAATATATTCTAATCTGCACTTTAAAAATCTTGATGCCATTTTGAATTATTTTCTCTGCCCCCATTCAGATCTAATCTAAAAAAAAAAAAAAAAAAGGCTATGGACTAGGAATTTAGACTGAATTCAGAACCACTAAAACACTAGCAGTTTTCTACAACCACTTTTGAGTGGTCACAAGTTAATCAGTTAAACTACTTGGAACCACTAGATTAAAGGTTTTGGATGTAGAAGAACTGCAAAGATGGTAAGACCTGACCATTTCAGAGCTCAATTAAACAACTTTTAATAGAATTGAATACCTTTTAAACCTGAATGACCTCCCTTTGTCAAGAATAGAAACACTAGTAAACCACTTAAGTTCTTGTATTTGTTTTATTGACATTTCCATGAAGAGGAACAACAGAAGGTTAAGGGACAGGAAATGCAGTGAGAAAAAAAATAGAAAAACGGGTGACATGTTTAGAAAAAGGGAACAAAAACATTACATGGACCACACAACAACAACAGAATTCAACTTAAGCAAGCTCCTCTTCACCCTCCTCCTCAAACTCCCCTTCCTCCTCAGCGGTGGCATCCTGGTACTGCTGGTACTCGGACACCAGGTCGTTCATGTTGCTCTCAGCCTCAGTGAACTCCATCTCGTCCATGCCCTCTCCCGTGTACCAATGCAGGAAAGCCTTGCGCCTGAACATGGCCGTGAACTGCTCAGAGATTCTCTTGAAAAGCTCCTGGATAGCAGTGCTGTTGCCGATGAAGGTGGCGGCCATTTTGAGACCACGAGGTGGAATGTCGCAGACGGCGGTCTTAACGTTGTTGGGGATCCATTCAACGAAGTAGCTGCTGTTCTTGTTCTGAACGTTGAGCATCTGCTCGTCCACCTCCTTCATGGACATACGGCCACGGAAGACGGCGGCCACAGTCAGGTAGCGGCCGTGACGCGGGTCGCAGGCGGCCATCATGTTTTTGGCGTCAAACATCTGCTGGGTGAGTTCGGGAACGGTCAGGGCACGGTACTGCTGGCTGCCTCTGCTGGTCAGTGGAGCGAAGCCTGGCATGAAGAAGTGCAGACGGGGGAAGGGTACCATGTTTACTGCCAGTTTACGGAGATCTGCGTTCAACTGACCGGGGAACCTCAAGCAGGTAGTGACACCGCTCATGGTGGCAGAGACTAGGTGGTTGAGGTCACCATATGTAGGGGTTGTGAGTTTGAGAGTACGGAAGCAGATGTCATAAAGGGCTTCGTTGTCGATGCAGTAGGTCTCGTCTGTGTTTTCCACCAGCTGATGGACAGACAGTGTGGCATTGTAGGGCTCTACCACGGTGTCTGATACTTTAGGAGAGGGCACCACGCTGAAGGTGTTCATGATACGGTCAGGGTACTCCTCGCGGATTTTGCTAATGAGGAGGGTTCCCATACCAGACCCTGTACCTCCACCCAAGGAGTGAGTGAGCTGGAAGCCCTGCAGACAGTCACAGCTCTCCGCCTCTTTCCGAACCACGTCCAAAACGGAGTCAACCAGCTCAGCTCCTTCGGTATAGTGGCCCTTTGCCCAGTTGTTTCCAGCACCACTCTGGCCTATCAGGTGACAAATGGTTAGGAGTTTAGTTACTTCAACACAAAAGGAAACTAGATCCATATCAGGTGACAATTTGCCATTCAAATTTTGTTCAGAGCAAGTGCAGGATTATTTTTCTAAATCAGATGTCCCAACTAAACCATTGCTCTCGGGTGAATATTAGTAAAACTATTTTTTTAAAAATAATATTTACCAAAAACAAAGTTGTCTGGTCTGAAGATCTGACCAAATGGACCGGATCTCACGGAGTCCATTGTACCAGGCTCCAAATCCACCAGTACAGCACGTGGAACATACTTTCCACCTATAAAAAACAAAATAAAGTACAGACTTTTTTAGGACAAAATGCCATAATACAGCTTTGTCAGGTAAAAATACAAAAGGCATTAATTTCTGCTCACCTGAGGCTTCATTGTAATAAACATTAATTCTGTCCAGCTGAAGGTCACTGTCGCCATGGTAACTGCCTGTTGGGTCAATTCCATGCTCGTCGCTAATGACTTCCCAGAACTGAAATAAGATGGATTCAAAAGGCACGTTACAAACTATTTATTATTTTAATCATTCAATTTAGTTGGACTAAATGCTTATTTAGACCATGACCAAACGCATTGATATTGAAGTGGTTTATAAAAGGCAAATAGAAGCGATTAAAACAAGGTTGATCCAATATTGAATAGCCAGAGCTTTCCGTTACATGGGCCCCACACTTGTAAAATGGAGTTTGCCAAGTCACCGGAGCCATTTTACACACCACCCGGGAGCTTAAAGTAACAGCAACGTAGTACCACGGCACTAACACGAATTTTAACTTTGGATATTGCACAATGAGACGAAATTATTCATATCCTGTCTTTGCATGGGGCCAGGGGGTATTTGCAACATGATATTAGCGTTCCCGCACTTTTCCATGAGCTAGATACAACCGGCCACATTACGACATGTGATTCTTCTAAGTGAATCGACTCGTTCGAACGGTTTGTTCAAATCTATTCGCCTACGTCACGACTCCTGCATTCGGTTGACAACTTTAGTAGAATGAGCAAAACCTCGAAAGATTCGGCTCTACCAAATCAACACAACGAACCGACTCGCTTGCGCATCGGACATTACGCCGGTCAGGCGCGGCCAACACCCTAAAACTAAAGCATTGTTTCACCATTAGTTAATTCAAATCGTACGGATTTCATGAAATAAACGTCCTTTAAAAAAATAATTAAAGTCATTTTTCGTCGATTCTTAGCTGAGGACTCAAAAACACGATTTTTTTTTAAAAACTTGTTGCGTGCTGAGATTAATCCAGAACCATATTTAAACCAAAATAGCTTTTAGAAGTTAAGATTAAACAATAATAATGATAATAATAATACAGAACACACGTCTGCAAACTAAAAATACGAAATATGTAACAGTAACGTAATCGATTAAACGTAACAATGTATGATCCTAAAAGCCGCGAAGATTAACGTTAGCTTTCCCCCAAAAGCCCAACTGGCAACGTTACTTTATTATACATTACAAATAATACATAATTCATTCAGTTCTTACCTTGGCACCAATCTGGTTGCCGCACTGTCCAGCCTGTAAATGCACAATCTCCCTCATTCTTGCGTATTTGTTTGCTTAACAACCCAAAAAAATGACTGAAACAAACACCTTCGAACTCAAACCCCTCGGCAATGAGGTCGTAAAATGAGATGTGCTCCTACTTATTCAGTATGGAGAAATCACCAACATTTCCATCATTCTCATTGGTTGCTGTGCGTCCTCTCCTGCAATCTCATTGGCTCTTTTTGTGTGCTCATTGTTATGATTGGTTTAGCCAGACGGATGCGTCATTATAGGCAGGCTGAATGGCCATTGGCTAGAAGAGCGGTAACGGTTATAACGGCTCTCGACATTCAAAAAAACGCGTATGTAAAAAAATTAATATAAAAATCAGTAGGCATATTTTCCAAAATGTATTTGCTTAAAGACTACAAATAAAACATAATAGAAGCAGTTTAGACAGTTTAACCCTTCCATTTGTCGCCCATGGCCATTACAAGGTGCTAATTAATTTATAAGGCAGAAATAAAGTAATTATAATACTAGTAATAAAAAACCTCTGATAGGTTTAAAGCTTATTGAACCTAATTTTGTGTAAATGAAGAAAAAGCTGAGAGCATTTAAAAAAAAAATCCTGACGACAAAAAATAGCATTGAGATCTATGGAAATAATTATTCATCTATCCCTGACAACTTCATTTTTCATTCACAAAAAATATGCATAAATAGATACATACATTTCCAATGATGTATTAAGTGTATAAAGTACAAGAGACACAATCACAATAGTCTTTGCATTTTTATATGATCTTTAATGTCTTTAAAAGCTGATATTGCATCAACATGTATCCTTAACCACATAATGAACCTCGAGTTGTTTTAGTTCACTGCCATATGTTTCTGAACCCTTATTCTCTACCCAAGGACCTTATAAAAAATAATATGAAGTGTGCCAAGGTCACCGGGTCTCAATACAAATTGTTTACCAAAATAATTGTTTTCTGTTGCAGAGAGAAATAATAAAAAGACATGCATGATTGCCATGCAAGAAAATTTACAAAGAAACAAAAACAAGAAAGGAAAAAATCCAGTCTTCTCTCTGTATGTTTGGTAAACACAAATGTTTCATTCTGGGTCAACTTTATAATTTCTTCTTTGTCTATGTGGATTATGTGTTAAGCAGCGGCCTTTCCTAAACAATTCCTCAGGTGTGTCTTTGTCCAAGGTCATAGATCATCCTCTTTGTTCAGTTCATGTTTCTCAATGTATCGTCTGCGGGTGGGGTGAACAGAAAGTAAAGAATCAGATTACTCAAAAACAAAGAAATGAGTACAACATACAATTTCTACACTGTAAAAAAATAATCAAGGGTCTAGTAAATTTCATTAAAAAAATTAAGGTGATAAGTAAAAATATTATGTATATTTTAGTAAGAAAATTGTGGTTCAGTGTTGTATAGAAAATATTGAGAACATTTCACTAATAAAACCAAGAGATACATTTTCTTAATGAAATATACACAGTTTTGAGGCTTGAATTGAGGAACCGATTAAGCTGATAAAATGAAGAGGAAAAGGCTACATATTTATTTTAAGAGAATGAATTCAATTACGCGGTTTTATTTCGAGACACCAATGTTAGTTCCCAGCATGCTTTGCACATGGCTGAAAATGGAGAGTAA